CACAAACTGATCCCTGATCACCCAGCCAGGCTCAGCTTTAGAACCATCACCTGGCCAGTCTGGAATGCAGCTCAGCCACTTCCAGCAGGTGACAGAAGGGTCCCCACTCCTGGGACAGAACCTGCAGTCCCAGCCTTTGACTCTGAGGAAGAGCCCAACAGTGAGAGACAGAAATCACTGAGTTTTCTTTTCTTTTCTGCTCCTCTCCCTGGCCTGCCACGCTTTGGAGAGAGAGGTGAAATGTTCATTTATTAAAGCACCCAATAGTTTGTAATGAGAGGATTTTGCTGCATGTTTGGTTACGTTTTTTCACTCTGTGTGGTTTCTGAAAGCAGGCCCCAAGAAGCAGCCTGTGTGCCGAGTAAACAACCTTTGTGTGCTGTTATTTGGATTTAGGGAGTGTCCCCAGGCCAGCACACCACGGGGCTGTTGTGCAAGGAGCTGTGAGCACGGGCACTGGGAGGCTCAGGGGAGCTGCTGTGGAAAAAAGGGGGACAAGGAAAAGCACCAGGGACTGCCAGAGATCAGAGGTGAAGCCTCAAGAGGAGACTCCTGAGCTCCAACACCACAAGAGACAACGGAACTGTGCCTGTTCCTGCAGCTTTGGGTCCCTTCTCCCTGTTCCAACAGGAATTTTTGGGAGAACTCATCTCTTCCAGCACACAGACTCAGCCACAGAATCACACAAAAGTCTGGAAGGGCCCTTAAAGATCATCTCAAACTCAAACACCTCAAACCTAAATCAAGGATCCTTCCATCTGCCAGCTGGATCTCCAGCAAAATATCCATTAGAGACCTACAGAAAACCCAGGTTATTCCAAACCTGTGCAGATACAGCACTGACAGAGCTGAGCTGCCATTTCGATTTCATGGAATATGAATTGAATTCATGGAACACGGGAACAGCTGGAGAGAGGAGCTGCCCCGAGCATCTCCGCTGGAATTAACTCCAAGCTGTTGATGCACCACCCCAAAATTCCATCCTCTCACCAGAGGAAATCTCAACCACGCTGCTCTCCCAACGAGCAGCAGCATTTCCAAGCAGTTTTTTTGGCCAGGGGGACATTCCAGCTGCTCTGCTGTCTGCAGTGCCTCTTGTCACCTCCGTGTGACACCAGCTCAGCCCAGAGAGCTGCACTAGGGATTTCTCACCAGAAATTTCTCACATCTTGAACAGCAACAAGAGAAGGGGGGGGGAAAAAAATCACCAAAAAACCAAGAGGGGACAAAGCTGATCAAACAGAAGCCAACCCAAATCTCTCTGGTGCTTCACTCCTGCTGTCACCTGGGTGCTGCCAGCTGCTGCTCAGGGTGATGCCACCACGGGGGGAAATTGAGCCCCAGAGCACTCCCAGCTCTGCCATCTGCATGGGCACAGCTCCGTGCAGCCTCACACTAAGCCAGGATGAGGAGGAAAAAAAAAAAAAAAAAAAAAAAAAAAAAAGCCCTGATCTCTTGAATTTCTGTGCCTGCACTTCTTTCCTGGAGGGAAATGCTAATTAAAACTGAGGCTGCTCCGTGAGCACTGGGATCCTTCCCTGCTGTGCCAGGCACAAGCTGATGAGTTCATCCCTCTCCAGCATATGGCCTGCTTTGGAAGGGGAAATTTCCACTAAAAACACGAGATAACACCACAAATTCAGGTGTTGTGGGAGCCTCACCCCGATTTCCCCAAACCAAAGCTGGTGCTGGCTGTGCTGGGCACGTCCTGGCACAAAGGCAGG